TTTTACGTGTATGGGCCAGATTCTTTACAGTAAATGCCTGTCACTTATTGGTGATAAATTTCAAAAATAAACAAACAGTATACAGTCCACTTGTTTTAATATATATATGTTTGTTATACTATTGACTACCACAGTTGTATCCAGAACTATAAAAAATTGTCTCTTTTCATCAAATGTCCACACAGATTTGTTCACTTACTTTAGAACACAACTGATAAGACAGATTATTCTCCTCTGCTTTGTTATTACAGTACAATCAGTGATAATTTAACTTTAAAAAGCACCACTACATGCTTAAAAAGAAACGCCAATGAAATTTGCTGATGATTCTGTCCACCATCTTCTTTGCTTCTAGGTTTCCTCACACAATCGACTCATCAGACAACTTTAGCACTTGAGTCCAGTATTTTGTTGGTACTATGATCTGTTTAACTTCCCCAGTAGAACTGCTTTGATAGATCTGGTACAGCACTCCCTTCTTGTTCTCTATTCTATAAGTCCCTTTCCCCTTGGACTTGTGCTAGTGTTTCACCTAGCCACTATCCCAAAGTTTCTGCAGTGAAGGGTCTTTCTTCTGTGCTTCCTTCATTTTCTGTAGACCTACCTTTGGGATATCACCTTTTGAGAATTGCAGGGGCTTGATTTTTTGCTTGCTTTTCTTTGCCAGAGCTCTTGTGGTGAGTTCAGGTGCATCATCAGTCTTCTTTCTGTCTGGTTCTTCCAAACTTTTACTTCCTGTTGACCACCAAGTCATAGATTGGTGCCTTCATACACATGGCCTCAAGGTCTGTCATTTTTATGGAATGACTATCTTTATTCTGGTATGTAAAACTGTCACTGTCTCATAAATTACCACACACACATCACATACTAGACTGGTTCTCCACTGCTGTACTCAGTGTCATGTAGTACTTCCTCTTTCTGGCCCCTGACCATTACCTACTAGAATGTTGTGATTTGTTGACAACTCTCAATGTTTGTCACACGCTCCAATCACCACTGACACTGTTGATCCTTTTTATAACTTGGGCTGATCATCAATCATGCACTTCCTTCTTGTGGTGAATATGACAAGTTGTCTCTATTCTTTTCCTTCGGCCTGGCATGGCCAGGTGGTTAGTGCAATTGCCTTGCAATTTAATGGTCATGGGTTCGATTCCCCATCCCACTAAAACATGTTCGCCATTTCAGCCATGGGGCATTATAATGTGATGGTCAATTACACTATTCATTGGTATAAGAGTTGGCAGTAGGTGGTGATGACTAGCTGCTTTCCCTCTAGCCTTTCACTGCTAAATTAGGGATGGCTAGTGCATATAGCCCTAATGTAGCTTTTTGTGAAATTGAAAACAAACCAAACCAATCTATTTTTTCTGGCACCCATGGTGACATTCACTCCTTTTCTTGTTTCTTACCAGCACCATCTTTGTAAGTAGCTCCAGCTGCTTTATGTTGATCTTCTTTTAGTTGCTTATTGGTAACAGACTTGCACTCATTTGCAGTGCATGCCATTTTATAACAAGCATAACATCTCTTATCCTTCTTGTCACCTTTGGTGGCACCTGCTTCTGGTCAGTCATCACTAATTTTGACTTTAACTGGTTATTCATGGACTTCCTTGGGCTTCCAAATACTGCTCTGACAGCTTGATTATCTCATCCATGTCGTTTGGTGCTCTCTTCTTTAGGAACAGTGATGTGTCAGATGAGCATATGATCATGAACTTTTCACGTATTAGTAGATCTGCCAGTCCATCAAAACTATTTTCACACTTGGCCATGTCAGTCCACCTTATGAAGTATCACTATAGATGTGCCACAAACTGAAATAAAGTTTCTTCAGTGTCACGTTTGAGTTCTCTGAATTTCCAGTAAAAACCTCAGAAAATTCATAGCATTTCAGAAAGGCCACTTTAATTTGTCATAGTCAATGGCATCTTCTGGTGTCATGCCTGCATATACGTTTAAGCCTTTTCCTGTGAGGAGTGGGCTGAAACAGACTGTTCAGTTACCTGTGTCCCAGTTCTATATTTGAGCAAATCTTTCATACCTCTTCAAGAAAGCATCCATGTCGTCTTTCTGTTCATCACATTTGGGTAGCTTGGGTCGGCTGACCCTGACCCCACTGTCATTCCTGGGTCCTATGTCTTTCTGTTGGGTGAGCTTTGTAATCTCAATTTGTGCTCTCTCTCTCTCTCCTTTTATTCTTTTTCAATTTATGCTATTATTCTCTTTTTCTCTTTATTTCAAGTCATTCCTTATTCCTCTTTTCTTCTTTCTCTTTTAGTCTTTCATCCTCCCTTCTCTGCCCACACTCTTAATTCTCTATCTAGGTCTTGTTGTTATTTAACAAATTTTCATAGATCACCATCTTTTAGACCAAGTTGCTCACCTCTCTCTATCCATTTATCAAAATCAGTCGGCATTGTTATATAGCGTTATTACAATATTTACACTATTTTCGCCACCACTACAATTGTGCATGTATAGGTTTACTTCCACTGTCATTCAAGTCTTTTTTCACCACTGTTTACCACTATATAATCCTGGCTGGCTCATCCAATGTCAGTTTTTATAGGGCCACGATTCTTTACAGTAGCTATCTGCTTATTGTTTAAATTTATTGCCAACAAATCACAGACACCTACTGTTAAGAACCATGACCTATAAAAACCGACACAGGTATTACCATCAATTTTGGTGTTGAGGTAAATGGCTGAACGCCCAAAGCCTGTGGTTGGACAAGTTGGAGCTACCAACTAAACCCTCGACCAAAATCAAATATTGACTCACACTTCAGCAGATAATAGCTCTACAGTACCACTGCCAAAAGCAAGAAGCCAGATTGATGAAGGCTTAGATGCTCTACAATGGTAAAGATCATCTAAAGAAATGTTAGGAACCTCATTTGAAGTTGGAAGAATTAAGTGATAAATCGTTTTCCTAACGATCTTGCAAGAACTCAAAAGGCTCTTGTAAGATGTTGAGAAATTATCTGCCAAACCATGAGGATTCACTGCAAATCAGTAGCTTCATTGGAAGACCTGCTGTTTGGATTCATATAGATATGTGGATCCAATCACTCTAGCAACTAGATTAAATATATATATCTATATATGTATCTAAGTTTCATTTCTTAACTTAATGACTTTTTGTTTATTTTATATAATGATTCATATATGATTTCATTGTAAGTATGTGTAAAGGGTGTCATTGTATTTTTTTGTATTGTACATGCATATGCATATTGATTTATAATGATATTTTTGTTGTTGGCATGTTGTGGTTATATACCATTTGAAAGTTCTAAGTCATATTTTATATATTTAAAATTACTTTTAATAGTGCACTTGTATATATATATATATATATATAAATATTTTATTTGATTATGTTTTGCTGTTATGTAACGGTAAAGGGTTTGTTATATGCATTTTGATTTTTAGTGTATTTTTACCTATTTTTTGTTTCGTCATTTTGTGTAATTTGAAGAAGAGTGAAAAGTTTTTGTTTTATTTTGATACAATATCACACTGCATTGTACAGGATCTTTTTTTTTTGGCTGTTTTTATTTTTTTATATTTTCTTTAAAGGTTTTTGTTGCTGTTGAACGTATACTTTATGCTACAAATCATGTTAAAATGTTTGATGTATCTCAGTTTAGTTTTTAGGGACTATATCATTATTTTAATCTAATTTGTTTGTTTTTATCTATCTTAATGTCAAAGGGAGAATGTTGTATTTTGATTTTTAACATATATTGCTTTAACGAAGATTTTTCCTTTGTATTTTTTTGTGCCTTTTATACTTCAAAAAACGTTCTTCTTGTTAGCTGTATAAGTGTGTATTGTAGAACCCAGTAAGTGTTGTTTGTGATGTTGTAATTTTTTAGTGTTATTGTATAATCATTCAACTTGTTTAAAATCTCATTTGTAATTTGTGACTTTGTGTCCTTTTGTAAAGCTGTGTTTCCCGTTTTACTTTTGTGTTATCTGACAATTGTTTTTTGCAGGTGTGAGGGCAAGTTGCATCAATTTCTTCACCAAAAACGATTTAATTTTTATTGTTTAAGTTTTAAAACTAGGGTTAGCCAGATTGACCTGAAGTTAACGGG